GTACGCACCCTAAAAGTCAGGATTCACGTTTTTAGTTAAGCTCTGCCATTTCTTGGCATCGTGACCTTGGGCAGGTCACTGTTCCTTCCTCCCTTGACAAAGGAAGACTGAAATAATTACTGAACCATAAGTCAAATTATTCAGGGCCCGTCTCTGACCTAAGCACTGCCGAAACTAAAAAAGCAAATAAGCCATAGCCCCTACCCTCAAAACGTTTTTCTAATAAATTTAAAATATATGCTATGTCTTATGACAGCTCTGATCTTATTTACTTCAGTAAAAATATGTTTTTTATTGTCTTTCATGCAGGTTTTAATTCTGCTATTGGATTTTTAGTTGTCGTTATCATTTCCTTTTTCTTCTCACTTGACTGCCTTTTCATCTGAACTCATTTTTTCCTAATAAGTTTCTGCCCTATATTGTAGAGACAACCTTTTGAATATGCCAAGGAGTTTTTGATATTTCCTTTTAGTTTCAGCAGTAAATAATTTTTCAAGAGGCCTTTCCCTAAGTGTTCAAAATATTTCTTTTTCTTGATATGCAGCATGTGTTTCCTAACGGACTCAGTTTATTATTTTTTTTGTTCATTTTAACCAGAGAGTTGTACATATTCAGTGTTTCCCAGCATACGGTACACATGACTTATTCTCAGCCCCACTCACGGTAACTTGGATTTGCCTCTTCAGTTCTACAGCCAGTTGCCAATCCCAGAGTTGAGAAGTTTTTATTTTGTTGGCCTGAAGTGGGTCACCACTGCCCAGCTTTCCAACCCTAGAACAGATAACAGACCTGCAAAACTACACCCCTCTTCCAAATTCGCAGGGTTTTCCTATCTCTGTCTCATTAACCGTTTTACTCAGGATCCTTAGAATGCAGGGCATCACCCTTCATCCTAAATCAGATTTCCTGCCCAGTTGGCTCCTTGGCTTGGCAGTTTCCTAATGGATTGAACTGAAAGGGAAGATGAGGTCTGGGTTGTGGAGTAGTTCTGGGAAATTAAACTCACTGGCTGCTTCTAAAAAACAAAACAAAAAACCCTAACCATCAGCAGCAGAGTAGAGGGATGACTGCTCTGTTTTTAGGCTTAAAGGGACCTGGCATTTTTACGCTAGGGAGCAGAGAGTGGAGAGGTCCAAACTCATAGAAGGCTGGTGGTTTACTCTGTTCATATGTCATATATTATCTTTATCAAATGAGTTATATTTAGTCTTTTAGATTCTGGAAAATCTTCCCAGATTCTCTCTGAGAATGTCAATTCTAGTTTTCCTAGTTGAATGTCGTCTTAATTGTCAAGATCAGCATCAGTTTATGCTTTTTTTGCATTTTCACAGGTATTTTCTTTCTTTCTTTTTTTTTTTTTTAATGGTGATGATTCGTTTTTTTTGTGTGTGTGTGAGGAAGATCAGCCCTGACCTAACATCTGTGCCAATCCTCCTCCTTTTTTTTTCCCCAAAGCCCCAGCAGATAGTTGTATGTCATAGCTGCACATCCTTCTAGTTGCTGCATGTGGGACGTGGCCCCAGCATGGCCGGAGAAGCAGGGCGTCGGTGCACGCCCGGATCAGAACCTGGGCCGCCAGCAGTGGAGCACGCGCACTTAACCGCTAAGCCACCGGGCTGGCCCTCACAGGTATTTTCAAGTGAAGTAGAGAAAGGCCGCATCAGAACTTGCTACCCAAATGCCAACTAAAAAAAATTCAAATTCAGACATTTACTGAGCACCTTCTGTGGCTTGCACAGATGTCGACATTACAGGGCTCACACTGTATAATGATTATGTACACACACACTCTCCCACATGTACAGTAACTACCTCGCCCACTTTCATGTGAACTGGGGACAGGTACAGTTTCTGTTTTTCTGTGTGTTCCCTGGGCTTAGCACAGGCCAGCAAATAGCAGGTGATCAATAAGTATTTATTGAGTAGATGAATGTCTAATGCAGGTGAGAGAAAAGAGCCACCCACAGGGAGAGTGAAGAACTGGGAGAGTGAAGAACTGGGAGAGTGTCATGCTGCTGACACAGAAGGGGTATAGGGAGTGTCCAGTGGTTCTCTGAGAAAACCCTTTTTTTTTAATTACTAAGATAAAATGTTAAATGCAACTATCATTGGTTAGACAATGAAACAAGGAGCCAAAATTGTAGCCTTGCCCTCCTCCCTTCTAGAACACTGCATACACTGTGGTTTCCCTGGTCCCAAACCCTTTTCCCCTTTTCACTCAGTGTCAATGTCACGTCCTACCCGAAAGCTTTCCTGACAGCAGAGACCGGGCTGGGCAATCGTCACCCACGCATCCAGGGAGCCCTGGACAGCGAGTGGCACCTGGAGCTTAACCCCGTATCCCCATTATTCTGTCTGCCCCCAAAGACAGTAATTTTCCTGAAGGCTGGAATTGTGTCTAGTTACTCATATCCCCCGCCGACTAAAGCAGTGCCTGAATTTGTTAAAATTATTAATTAATTGATGAGAAATGCACTCATAATTAAGACAAAATGGGAACTTATCTTAATTTACCTGGACATTAATACTGGTAGTAAATATTTATAGGGATAGTAAGAGTAAGTAGCAATCTAATCCATTTAGTATTAGCTAATTGTTCATATGTATGTTTTTTCAAACAACAGATGACCTCTTTATTATCCCCACATTGGCTATCAATCATCACTAAGTACACATCAAGCACTCAGTATGTGCCCAGAGAACTGTTTCAGGAGCCCAAAGAAGTCGTCGCGTGTGGTTCGTGCCCTGCTGGGATCACTCTCACAATCCTCGTTGCTAGGTACTTTTTCAACTTAGCACTTTATCAAGCACTTCCCTCCTCTCCCTTGAAACGTGCTCCATGAGCGTAAGAGCTGGTGTCCCTGACTGTACCTGCAGCAGTGCCTGGCACACAGGAGGTACCACATACACATTTACCGAATGCGTGCTGGAGATGGTAGCCATGGCAGGTGCTGCAAAAGGATAATATGACAACAGGCAGATTTCAGGGTGATTATTTTGATGTTACCCAAAATTGGATTGAGGGAAAGAGATTTTGGGGGAAAATTTTAGCCCAGTATTTCCTTCTTTGTATCTTATCTAGGTCACCTTCTCCTTCTAGTGTTGTGATGTATATTTGTGGAGGGACAGCTATTCCAACATAAGCCTAACCCAAGGACAGTTATGAAGGGAAACTGCTGCTAAGAAATATCAGGCGATACATGAGGTATGTATATTGTTTTATAAAAAGTAAACATACCAGGATTTTTCAATACAGTTGGGCATGTGTCCCTACGCAAGAAGTCTCCTTTGGTGAGTATGTACTTATTCGTACTTATTCTACCCAGGCAGGCATTCTTCAAAACACTCCACTGACTCCTTTGGAATTACATTCTGCATTTGGGTCACCTTTACTAGAATATCCTCTGACGGAAATTCTTGAGTCTCTGGGTGTCAGCCTTCGTTTTAAGAAACAGACAAAAGCCACTGGGAACCACAGCACCTGCTATGCTGGGTGCTGAAGCTGGGTACCACAGATGTGGGCAAGGGAGGGACTCAAGGGAAGGACTCCAGAGCCATCATCATTTTCCTATACAACCCTGCTTTGTTTTGGGGTCATTTTATAAACTGTTCATGATTCTTAACTTCTTTAACATTTTAAGTGTTTACTATATTTAACTTCAGATATTTGTCTCTAATTAAGACACTCATTTTTGTACCCATATAACATGTGTTCTTCCCCTAACCTCCCCAAACCTCTGTTTGTACCCAGAGTCGGTTATCTGAAAGTACAGCTCTCTAGCTGCAGTCTGTGGCCACATGACCCTCTCTGGACAGTCCTCTTCTTCTTCCACAGGCCAAATGAGGAGGCCAAACTCATTATTTGTTGTGTGGGCATGCTTCATGGACTCCAGACAGACATAACTTTTGCTGTGTCCAATTTTCTTTTCTTTTCACTATGACTCCCTTTTATTAGCAGAAGTTGATTATGTCAACTAGGTAATGAAAATAAAGATCAGATCTTCCTGTTGGCATCATACAAATATTTAAAAAAATATCAATAAAACGGACCACAAACCATAGAATTTTGAGGTTTGAAGTTCTTCAAGCCAGCAGGCCTGTTCCACTGTCAAGCAGTGCCTAAATCTTGCATTGCTTACAGCCTCCATTCTGAATTTCCTGCCTTAATTTACCTCACACTCCGCATCTCAACTTCTTGACATCTTCCTGGATTCTGAATTCATGGCTTATTTTCTTATCTGTGGTCTCTGGCGACTGAAGCCTAGCTTTTTTCGTCCAGCTTTCACATAGTTCATCTGTCTTCAAACATGATTCTCAATGGCTGTACTACTCTCAGCCGCCCGGTCTCGCATGGCCACCAAGATGTTGTATCTTAGCTTAGGTGGTTGTGAGCTTCCCTACCAAGTTCACCCTTGCTCCTCCTGGAGGGCCCAGAATCTCTGCACTGGAAGTGACCCTAACGGTCACTAAGGATTTTATCCACCAACGTAAGTTATTAATTGTATTTTACTTTTACCAAAGTTTAATCTGAAATCCTAATAATGTTAGCAAGTACTATGAACAGCCCTGACTCAGAGCCTAGGCAGATGTGTGGCTGTGGGAAGCAAGACCATGGGTGGTAATATTCACTTACTTACCGGGCGGCCTGGGAATGGAGAGGGAAAACATGACTCTACAAACTGATGTAAACACAAAAATTACACAGGCAGGGGCTCACGACTTCCAGCCACTCCACGAGACAAAGAGGCGGCAGCAGCTAAATGTAAGAAATACTGCTTTTAACGCTCTCAAGATTGACTGAGAAACAATGAGAACTTTCAGCAGATCATCTAGGGAGCAGCAAGAGCCTTCACAACAGCAACACATCTGCAGGAAGCCAGGGGGCTGTTGGCCTCTTTTGTTTATTTTTCTTCTTTTCCCTTCCCCTCACTTTGCTTCTTCCAAACTTTGTAGCCCTTTGGCCTGCCTTTACCTTCGTGCAAGGACTGGCTGTTACTTACCATGCCCTTTAGTGTCAGATCTGCTAAGGGAGACCGGTTGCCATGGAAATCTGGCCAAACATGTAAATCAACAGTGAGGAAACCCACGGGCTGAGCCTTCTTAATCAGATCCAGGTGACTGTTCAAATACGCATATACACTCTGGCATCTGGAAGAGAAGTGGATTTTGTTTTTAAAGGGGGTGGCGGGTAGGGCCAGGGAGCAAATTGTTCTGCAGAAAGAAACCATATGTACTTCCATAACAAATCCAGAAAGTAAGCAGGGTCCCCAAAGCTTCAGCAAAGAAACCACCCCAAACCCACAGAAAGCAGCATACCGTACTGTCAAATCACATGGTACTAACACTGAGACTATTACTATCACTTTCCACTAGTTCTAGTGGAAAGGGGGAAGGTCTGGGATCAGAAGACCAGGTCCAGAAATGGCTTTACCCCCTAGTAGGTGTGTAACCACTTTCTGAACCACTCTCTTTGCATCTGTAAAAACAGATACCATAATCCCTGTCCAACTGACCTCACAGGGTTATTGTGAAGATCAAAGGAGACTACGGATGTGAAGACACAGCATTTTGTAAACTGTACAATATTGTACATATGTAAAGGATTTTTTAAAATCAGTATTCCTAATTGTAATAATAATGATGTGACGAATGGAGATAAATATAAGTTTCTGGACTCAGGATAGGAGTTTGCTTAGGGAAGTGATACAATGGAGAGAATGCATTTAGGACCAGAAGTTAGGAGACCTGATTTCCAGCCTAAACATGGGCAAAGGACATTGCATTAGTCCTTTCTCCTTTGTAAGCCTCAGTTACTGCACATGTCAAATGAGGGAGTCTGACCACCTCCCTCAGCTATACATGTTCAGCTGAGAGGCGAGAGAGGTGATGGGCTTGGAGGTCAAGGCAGTCCTGGGGTCAGATCTTGGTTCTACCTGTCCTAGCTGGGTAACACGGGCCAGTGACTTCACCGCTCTGAACTTCAGTTTTCCCATGCATAAAATGGGTATAACAACACCTACCTCACTGGGTTAAATCCCACCGCACAGAACAAAGACTAAAGCTGGTTACCCTTCCCTGCTTTAGAGGTGTTTCCTTCTCAAAGTCCTGAACCAATGATTCTAGAAAAAAGTGGGTATATCAGAGGTTGGCATCCATGCCACTTCCCACTGGTGTCCTTGGAACCATAGCTTTAAAGGTTAAAAACATGGCTTGAATAATGGCAGAAAAAAAGTATAGGAAATCAATGTCTGAGGGAGGTTAATATCAAAGATACTTAAGATAATATTTATTATCTACATTTAAAAAGTGTTCTAGGAGTACAGCTTAGCGATTTGTAGATCTAATTTTTTGACACTGTGAGTGGCCCTATGGATCCCATGAAATTTCCCAAAGTTTTCTAAACTACGTTTAAAGAAACAAACAAGTAGAGCAGTGGTTTTTAAACTCTTTTATTAAATAAAAATTTGATGTGGAACTCCAGTATAGAAACTATAGAAAAGCAAAAGAGCTCCATGTAAGTGCATGAGTGAGTGTGAGTGTGAGGGTGTGCGTGTGGCATGTGTGCGGTGGAGGTGAGGGGGGTTCCACCTCCGAGACAGTCTCTTTGCTTCTTGCTGTGACACCTCATTCCCATCTGTAAAAATCTCGGCCTTAGATCACATGAGGATGACACTGTCAGGACGAGGCTCACCAACCACAGCAACATCGACTGCCTCTCCCAGGGTGTGCACCGGGCCTTCAGCCACAGCCTGTGAGTGAGGACTGTCACCATCCCTAAAGGGGACACTCAAAGAGGTGAAGGCACGTGGTCAAGTCCAAAGTTAAAGCCTTCTCTGCGTGAGTCTGAAGCCAGGTGCTATCGTATCCCAGGTCAGAAATGACTCATCAGAGCCCCACGCTCAAACCCCGTTTTAGCCTGACTCTATGTTAGTGTTAGGAAAGGACCCTCTGAGGCCCCAGGGAAGGCAGGGCTAGAACCATGTCTCTGGGTAGAACATAATCACATCCTGGTTTCCTATTTTCCAGTTCTCTCTGCTACTGGTCCAACAGGAACCACACCGACAGCAAAAGCCACGAGAACATCCTTTCTAGCCAGAAGTCAAGAGTCTGCGCTAATTCTAGCAGCATCTCGCTTCAGAGTAGCATCCCTGCACTTCGAGTAAGGGATTGTCTTTTTAAAGATGCGTGTGTCTATAAATCTTTTCATTTGTCTCTCAAGGAATCTCAGAGCAGGGCATTTGGTTTCAGACATCTGGGTCAATAAGAACCTATAGACCTAATTACTATTGATTTGTCATTGTCTCATTTACTGCAGGTCTTTGCAAACAGTAAGATTCATTTAGCCTCCACATATATGGTCCCTCCCGCACTAATGAGATCCCTGGGGATGGGGCATATGCTCACCCCCTTTGACTCCTAACCTCCCCCCAGCTGGATGTTTATTCTCTGAATGCAGCCCTTCTCCTGCATGTTGTTTCAATTATACCTCACCATGTGTACTATCTGAGTATATTATTCAAAATGAAGTGCACTTGGAAAACATTAAAATAACGAACACACATCATTATTCACATAATTTAAACTTGCACGATGCCTTTTTGGTTCTGACTTTGTTCCATTTGTATGTTTTATCAATTCCTTTTCAAATGGCGGTCTGCCCTCCTCCAGCTCGAGAATCACATGTTAACTATTTCAAGTGGACCGTTCTCCCTCCCTCTCATGAACTCCAGGCTCATATGTCCTCTCTCAGAACGAGGAATTCTTTCTGTCCTACTCCCATTGCGTGTGATGAAGAAAATATACTTCTAACAGTCACAAAGTGACTTCACCACGTGCCAGGGGGTGATAGGGTACACTAACCTCTAAGCCTCATTTACTTTTTTGCAATTAAGGCTAATACTTTTACCTCATAGGCCTCTACGAAGATTAAATATAGAGTCCTGAGCACTATAAAACAATAGGTGATCGGTAAATAGTTTCCTCTCCCTTCCTATCACGGGAAATTAATTTCTAGCTTAAAAATAACCCAAGAGTCAGGGAAGATTTTTTCAGACTTTATCGCTTACAGTCTTAAGTGCAGACAGCACCCCTGAATCTCCACACTCTCCTACATCTCCAAAAATCATTTAATTCTTTGGGTTCATAGGCTACCCAGAAGCATGGTGACCATAATTTCAAACCAAAAATGACGATACATGGTCTAACAGAAGACATTGATGCCCTTTCCAGGAGTAAGGGAAAGTCTTAGAAAAGAAGCTTGCTTACTTCCTGACCCACTGCATACGTACTCTGCCTGTCCCACTCTACTGGAACTCCCATGTGAGGAACACCACTCTCTCAGTTGATAACTCCAATGGCCTTGATTTTACTTGAACTCTTGCATTTTGCACCACTTGATCATTTTTTACTCATTCGTTCTCTTTCCCATTTCCAGGACACAATACTCTAGTTTTCCTGCCTCCTCTCCAGCTGGTTCTCTTCCTTTGCTTGTCCCTTACATATCTGAAGTCTCTCAGATCTCTGTCCTTGTCCCTCTTCTCACCTCTTCTCACTCTTTATATACCCTTGGGTGATCCATCCTCCTCTCACGCCCCCGGTTACCACCCAGGGCTGAGGACTTCCAAGTGCATGCCCATCTCCTGCTCATTTCTCTCTCATGAGTTCCAGGTCTAATATCCAACCACCCAGCAAATGCTTCCTCTCGGATGCCCACAGGGACCACAACTAAAAATGTCTAATATGACACACATCATCTTTTCTGGCATTCTCCCTCTTCCTTCTGTGTTCTTTGGTCTAATCAAAGCCAATCTCATTTAAGGGGCTGCTCGAGCAACCATTTGGGGGACAGAGTCAGAGCGGGTATCATTTTTGACTCTCTCTCCCCCTCACCTCCCAAATCTAATTTTCACCAAGATTTGTCAACTTTATTATCTCAAATATTCCTCTAATCAGCAAACTTCTCTCCAGCTCAACTGTTTCTACTTTATTCAGGCCACCTTCAAATGCTGGGATTAGAGCTTTGGCTTCCTAACTTATCTCCCCGCTTGAAATCTTGCCCCCCCACAACTAGGTTTTCTGCACTCCTTCCTGGGTGATTTTTCTAAAATGCAGCTCTGATTATGACTCCACCCTACCTGAAACCCTTCAGTCGTTCCTCCCCACTGTCCTCAAGAAGAAGCACAAACTTTCTCGCCTGGCATAAGATGTTCTTCATTATCCAGCTCTCCCGACATTGCGGTATTTCATACACATCTTCCATTCCTCCTTCCTCCTCACCCCTGCACACGCCACGCTGTAACCACACCAAACCACTTTTAATTTTCATAATATGTCTCTGAATGTTTGCCTCTTCTGCTCCCTCTTGCCGAGAATTCTCTTCCTTGCCTTCTTCACCTGCCTGTGTCAATCACACCCCAGACTCATCTTTGATGCCACCCCTTGGAGGCCATTCTTGGACCCATGCTCCTTTCACTGCCCATGCTGACATACCAACCTACACTGAACACAACTGCCTCAGCTCCCCTCCTCACATCTCCAATCCCAGCATCACCAGAGAAAAGGAGGAGGGATCCTGACATCTTCAAGTACTTTCAGGAGTGCAATGCCACCTGCCCTCATCACCTATGTTGGGAGTTTGACAGTAAAACCTGTGCTCTCTGGTTTGGGAATAAAGAGATATTCTGCAGCAACACTGATTACATTATTTCCCTGCTTAGAATCCTGCAATGGCTAATTACTGTCCCTTGGATAAAATCACTTTCTCACCTTGGTATAAGGCCCTGGATGATCCAGACCCTGCCCTGGTCTCCAACCTCCCCTTGCTCACTGTGGTTTGTGGTCTAATATCAATTCCTCAGCCTTCTCTTCAAGGCTTACACATATGTCAGTCCGTTAGCCTGGAGTGCTCTTCACATGGTTAGCTCCTTTTTATCCTTTAGATCTTAACTGTCCCTCCATCAGCCAGGGCTTCCTTGACCACCTTATCTAAACGGGGCTTCCTTGATATTCTACTACTGCATTCTGTTTGTCTCTTTCATATCAGGCGTGGTCACTGTAGACTTATTCACTTGTTGATTACCTATGGCCTCCTCTGGACTTTAAGCCACACGAAGGCAGACCATCACCAGTATATATTCAGGATTTAGCAG